CTTAAATAGTATTTTATTTTATTTTATTTGGGGGGGAGGGGGTGTTTCCTTTTATTCTCTTCGTTAGAAGAGTGTGTATAAAATGTTATTATTTCTCATTTTTTTTATTTTTACATAGTTGATTGTACATATCTGTGGGGTACAGAGCTTAATACCAATACCTGTGTGCAATATGCAATGCTCAAATAAAGATAATTAGTATATTCAACATTATACAATGTAATTGTTTTTCATGGTCCTTTACCAATTCCTCCCTTTACCCACTCCCTCTCCCCCTTTTCTACCTCTGGTAACCTCAGTTTTATTCTCTCCTCTTGGAAGTTCAATGTATTATTGTGATTGTTGTATCTTTCTTTCTTTTATTATTTATAAGTTTATTTTATTTTTATCTCCCACTTATGAGTGAAGACGTGGTATTTCTCTTTCTGTGTCTGGCTTACTTCACTTATAATTTTTTCCAAGTTCATCCATGTTCCTGTGAAAGACAGAATATCATTCTTTTTTTATGGCAGAGCAGTATTCCATTGTGTAAACATGTTTTTTATCCAGTCATCCAACAATGGGCATTAAGGTTTGTTCCAACTCTTGGCTTTTGCAAATAGAGCTGCAATAAACATAGGAGTGCAGGCATCCCTTCAACGTGATGATTTCCATTCATTTAGGTGTATACCCAGTGCTGGAATTTCTTGATCTTATGGCGGTTCTGTGAGTAGTTGTTTGAGAAATCTTCATACTATTTTCCAAAACAACTGCATCAATTTACAGTCCCACCAACAGTGTAGGAGGGTGGCTTTTTCTCCACATCCTCACCAGCATTTGTTATTCTCTGTCTTTGTGATAATAGGCAGTCTAGCTGGAGTTAGAAGATATCTCAGTGTGGTTTTTATTTGCATTTCCTTGATGCTGAGTGATACAGAGCATTTTTTCATGTGTCTGTTGGCCATTATATATCATCCTTTGAAATGCCTAATTCAGCTTTATTGCCTATTTTTTACTCTTTTTTTTTCTTTTTTTACTTTTTACTTATTTATTTATTTATTTATTTCTGTTATTTTGGTTCCTTTGTTGGGTGCATAGCTTCCAAATATTTTCTCCCACCCTGTGAGTGGTCTTTTCACTCTGTTAATTGTTCCTTTTGGTGTGAAGATTTTTAGTTTGTCATAATCCCACTTGTTTATTTTCAGTTCTTATATTTAAGTCTTTAATCCCATTTTGAGCTGATTTTGATATATGGCATAAGTTAATGGCTTGGTTTCATTCTAATACATATAGATGTCCAGTTTTCCCAGCACCATTTATTGAAGAGGCAGTCTTTTTCCCAATGTATGTTCTTGGCAGCTTTGTCAAAGATCAGTTGGCTGAAAGTTTAGTGGGATGATTTCTGGGCTCTCTATTCTGTTCCATTGGTCTGAGTATCTATTTGTATGCCAGTACCATGTTGTTTTGATTACTATAGCTTTGTAGTATAGTTTGAAGTCAGGTAGTGTTATGCCTCCAGCTTTATTTATTTATTTATTTATTCATTCATTCATTCATTCATTCATTCATTCATTTATCTTTTTTATGTTTGGCTTAGGACTGCTTTGGGTATTAGTGCTCTTTTGTTTTTCCATATCAATGTTAGAATTGTTTTTTTCTATTTCTGTGTAGAATATCATTGGCATTTGTATAGGGATTGTATTGAATCTGTAGATCGCTTTGGGTAACATGGACATTTTTGCAATGTTAATCATTCTATTCCAAAAGCATGGAATGCCTTTTCATCTTTTTTGTGTCCTCTTTAATTTCTTTCAGCAGTGATTTGTAGTTCTCATTGTAGAGATCTTTCACCTCCTTGGTTAAATTGATTCCTAGGTATTTTTTTTTTTTTTTTTTTTTTTTTTTTGGTGACTATTGTAAATGGGCTAGCTATCTTGAACTGTCTTTCTGTTAGTTCATTATTGGAGAATGTGAATGAAAATGATTTTTTTACATCGATTGTGTATTCTGCAACATTACTGAAATTATCAGTCAGTTCTAAAAGTTTTTTGATAGTCTTTACCTTTTTCTATATATAGGATCATGTCATTTGCAAACAGGGACAGTTTGACTTTGTCTTTTCTGATCTGGATGCCCATTATTTCTTTCTCTTGCATGTTTGCTTTAGGTAGTACTTCCATTACTATGTTAAATAGGAATGGTGAGAATAGGACTTGTCTTGTTCCCCTTTTCTTGAGGGAAAAGCTTTCAGGTTTTCCCCATTCAGGATGATATTGGTGGTGGGATTGCCATATATGGTTTTTATTGTATTGAGATACTTTCCTTCTATACCTAATTTGATTGAGACTCTTCTTAACAATTGCATTGGGTGATTGAGGGGATTTTCACTCTTGAAATGCAAGTCTTTCTATTTCAGAATATTTCCTAGAGACATGACTTTAGTATTTCCCTCCCTTGCATTGTTTTCTATTCTATCCTCTGGAATTTATATTATTTGCATTCTGACTGTCACAAACTGAACTTCTAATTTTATTATATTATCCACCCTCTTTCTCATCTTTCTTGTTCTGCTTCATGGTCTCCATTGTCATAATTTAAATGTTCAAGAACGCTTTCTTAAATTTAATTTATCTAATGTTCTTTTTAAAAAAATCCTGTTCTAGTGTAATGTCTGTTCTTGTATTGTTATCTCTCTGAGAAGATGAATCACAGTTCTCTTTTAATGAAGAGTTTCTTTGTTTCTTTTATACTCTATTTCTTCTTTTTTCCTAATTATCTATATGATCTCTGCCTTTTATTTTAGTAGTTTTTCTCAAAAGTCTTGTGATCCCTTTCTGCTAATTGCACGTTCTCTGGATAAGAACAAGTCTTAATAACTGATAAACTTCATTGAACTGATTCAATTATTCATTCATTTCCCAAACTCCAAATATCAATATTTCTAAGTATTTTTTGGTGTGGTCTGTTTGCTCTGAAAGTAGTTTGACTGGGGCCTGCCAGCATTCTGAAAACCCAAGCTGGGGAAAGGTGCTGAGTTGTTTCAAAATTCAGGGTATAGACTTTCCACTTATATAGCCATGCAATTCCTGTTTTCCAGATTGAGAGGCCCTTGAGTTGAACACCTCCATTAAATAAAGATATAGTGTTGTTTCAGGTAGGGGAGGAACAGTTGTCCATGGAATTGAAGTAGGTGGGAGAATCTGGTGGGTAACAGGGTTTTTTTTTCCCCACATGTTCTTATCCAAGCCTCCTGTTTTAGAGCTACCTGTAGCCTTTAGAAATACCTGATTACTTCAACTTCAAGCTAATACAGGGGTTTTTCAGGCATGATTTGTATTGCTTCTGAACTTCCTCCAATGCCAGCTTAGTTTTCTGCTTTTTGAGATCTAAAAAAATAAAATATAGCTTATTCTTTTTCTTTCCAGTTTCCAAAACTTCATTGCTGTTGTTTTCTCTCCCAACATCTTGGAGTTTGTATATTTAGGCTTTAAATATAATAGTTACTTCATTCATTTCTGAAAAAACATGAAAATTTCTTTTTTAAAATTTTCTCTTACTTTTGTTATTTTTAATAATTTTTTATTGTTTTTATTGACACATAAAAATTGTATATATTTATGGTGTCCAACATGATCTTTTGATATATGTACACATTCGGAAAAGCCTGAATAAAGGTAATTAACATATCAAGTACTTCACATACTTCTAAAAAAATTTTTGTGTGGTAACAATTTAAATTTTTCTCTCAGCAATTTTCAATTATACAATACATTGTTATTAACTATAATCATCATTGTCATGTTATTCAATAGCTGGGCTTAGAATTCAAGATTTATAGATTTATTCTCTCAGCATTTTTAAGACCTCCTCTTTGACTAGTTCATTATTTAACAACTATATTGTTTAATTTCAACGTATTTAGGGATTTTTTCAAAGAAGTTTATGTTTTTATGTTTTGAAATTCCAGTTTGATTCCATCATTGCCAGAAAACATACTCTGTATGG